ATCTTGAAAGTAGAGTTCATAATGTATTTTTACCTAGGAATATTACTTCCGGACCAATCGATTCTGTTCTTATTGATGGTCGTCATGCCACATTAATATCAAATTGGATCGATAGAAAGGATGCAAAATTGAACCTTAAAAGAAAAAATCCTTATAAATTTAACCTTTTGGTTAGAGCTAGCAAAGATGGTTTTGGTGTCGATGTTTTTCACAATCGATGTGATTCTGTAGCACGTACTTTGGTATTGGCCAAGGTTAAAGGCACTAATCAAATTGTTGGTGGATATAATCCAATTAAATGGAACTTTTCGGAAAATTCTCATGGTACATCTGTTGGTCCTCATAAATCTTTCAAAAAGTTTGGCTCAACTTCGGATTCATTTATATTTTCATTTAATGATACTCTTAATCCGACAATGGCAACTTTGTCAAGAATACATGAATCATTGGATGATGAGGCTGTTTATTTTTCTCATAGTTATGGCCCGTGTTTTGGTCAAAACGATTTACATATGGTAGATCAGAGTTGGAATTGTAGAAAGACTAGTTACGATCATGAAATATTGCCGGGTAGGTCAAATTTTATTGCTGATGATTATGAGGTATTTAAGATTGTAGAAAATGATGGATTGAAAGAGAAAAAAACAGAAGTTCTAGAGGAACGTCTGATGTTTATACATAGTTTTGATGGGTATATTAGATGATTTGGTTTTAATATTGTAAAAAGACTTGAACAGAATATTAAATAAAATTTCTGCAGAAATACAAATATTTCTGATTGACCTATTATCACAACCGAATATAAAACTAGTTATAATATTGGAACATTGTGCCTAAGTGGTTATACACTTGGTAATATGGAAATCGGGTAGAGTGTTCCGAATCATAATTTGTTTGACACGTAAGTGTCGAATTATTCGAATAGTTATATGATAAATTTAATCTTAGGCACTCTAAGTCGGTACTTATCACTATTTTTAGTAGCCTATATATCTCGTAAGCACGTAAAATGCCTCCTTGCTTATGTTATTACTTTGCATAAATTCATAAAAACATATGATAACAAGTACATGAAAGCATGTAATAACAAAATACAAGTTTAATATACTTGTTTTTTTTTTTTTTAATAAAAAACTATTTGCTTTGGACATTTAATTGTAACATCTAATAATGCAATGACCTAAAATTAATATATTTGATACTTTCTTTAAATTAAAGTCACAAATAAGTTCGGCCTAAGAGTCGGTTCAGCCTGGCTAACGTAAACCGCAAACCGAACCAGTAGTTTACATCTCTAACTATTAGAGTTCCGTAAAATCGTCACCCGGATCACCGTAACAGGAGCGACCGTCATCGTTACACAAATTGCAGATCACTTCCGAGATCCTCCCACCCAATCAAAATTACGAATTT